GTATGTCTTGAATACTCCCTAGAGGAAAATGAGCCCCCTTTCACCTTTCTCTACTTTTAGAGTGTTTGATTGAATAACAGATAGCCATCTGTTTAGCAATATTATTACTATTACTCTGTGTGTCTGCGTGTATGCAGGTTATCTGTTTGTTTTTTATTTATATGTGTTTGACTGTTTGCCTGAATGTATATAAGTGCACCACATGCATACAATTTGTGCAGAGGACAGAAAAGGGGGTCAAACCCCTGGAACTGGAATTATGGATGATTGTGAACTGCCATGTGGATGCTGGGAACCCAACCCAGGTCCTCTGCAAGAGCAACCAGTGTTCTTGACTGCTTAGTCATCTCTTAAGCCCCCGTATGCAGTTTTTTGATACAGGATCTCTGTTGCCCAGGCTCACCTCGAACTCAGAGTAACTCTTCTCCTTTAGCCTCCTGAATGCTTGCAATTATAGGTGTGAACCACTGTGCCCAGCTGTCATGGTTGTATTTTCATTTATTTATTTCATGTGTGCCTTCATATGGAGGTCAGAGGTCAACCCAGGAACTCTCCACCTTGTTTTTTGAGGCAGGGATCTAGGGCTCAGAAATTCAGCTAGAGCCCCAAGGATCTACCTGTCCACACCTCCTGAACACTCAGAGTACAAACTGGCATTGTAAAAAAATATTTTACTGGGGCTAGAGAGATGGTTTAGCAGTTAAGAGCACTGGCTGCTCTTTCAGAGGACCCGGGTTTGATTCCCAGCACCCACATGGCAGCTAACAATTGTCTGTATTTCTAGTTCCAGGGGAATCTGATACCTCTTCATCCTCCTCAGGCACTTATACACATGCAGGCAATACACTCATACACATAAAATAAAAATAATAAATTAAATAATATTAAAAGTATTTTCTTATGTTTATGAGAGTTTTGCCTGCATTGATACAACTGTGCCATGTATGTGCAATGCCCACAGAGGCCAGAAAAGAGCGTTGGATCCCCTTAGAACTGAGTTGCAGGTGACTGTTAGCTGCCATGTGGGTGCCGGGAACTGAGCTGGTCCTCCGTAAGAATAGCCAATGCTCTTAACCAATGAGCCACCTCTTAGGCCCCAGCATTCTTTTTTTTTTGAGACAGGGTTTTCCTGTAGTCCCAGCTGGCCTGGAACTTGCTACATAGACCAGACTGGCATCAACCTCACAGAGATCTGCCTGCCTCTGCCTCTGGAGTGCTGGGATTAAAGGTGTGCATCACCACACCTGGCTGGTCTTTTTTTTTTTTTTTAACATGAGCTCTGGGGCTCAAACTCAGGTCTTTATGATTGTGGGGCAAGCACTTTCCTATCTCCCCAGCCTCTGTATTTTTAAAGTAGACTTTTTTCCCTTTACCGAGAGCAAATAAAAGCAAAATTTTACAGGGCAGATCTGTAAGTTCTTCCTAGACGAGTTTGAAAATGTGTCCTAGGCCCACTGCTACCCAAAATAAAAGTCTTCCCCCACACTCAGGTCAGGAGTTCGTGTCTTAAAACAATCAATGCAGACTCTTTTATTAAAATAAAGCAAGTTTTATTATTGCTATAAAAGTAATACATTTTGTTGATACAAGTATTGCTTAGAAAAACAATAAAAAATATAAAGAGAAAAACAAACACCACCGGTAATTCTAGAAACTCAGACATAAGTGCTATTAAAGTTTTCTTGTATTTCTTCCCAGTCTTTCCCCCATATAGTGATACAAAACTACGCATGCAAAATATTCCCAATACACTTCTGCTATGGATTCAGGAACAAACTGCAAAGATAATTCTGTACCATACTGTTATTACAAAAGCAAACCACCAATAACTATGGTAGACTTTTCAGTTTCTTTCCTCAAGATTTTTGTTGAGGTACTGATACAAAACTTTGCATGCAAAATGTCCCCAATATAGTCATGGTACATATTAGGAACACATCGCAAAACCAGTTAAGTACCTTTCTTCAGTCACCTATAGTGCCATGGCTCAGAAACGAGCACATTTCCATTTTTTATATACTTCGTCTTAGTCTTCTCCCCATATGATTGATGCAAAACTATGAATGCAAAATGTCCCCAATATATTCATAGTACATATTAGGAACACATCGCAAAAACAGTTCAGCATCTGTTTCCCTCTCTTCCTCCCTCTTTTATACTAAGGATTAGACCAAGGGCCTGTGTATCCCCTTCTATCACTGAACCAGACCCCCAGCCTTTAGCATCTTTGTTCAATCACATATTGAAACATAACTCAGACATAAACATAACATTTTCATTATTTTTCTCTTAGCCTTGTATCTGTAGATTGATCCTATGCATGTAAAATACAGAGAAGGGAAAAGATTTTGCATGTTTGTTACTAAACATTTTTATTAGGAGTATATTTTTAAGTCACAAAAATATTTATCAAATATTATTTTAAATTAAAGTATCCTATGCCATTGTTTTAGAAAAGCATTTTTAAATTTATGCAACCCTTTACCATTAGTCATTCAGGATGCTCCTAATTTCATCCTTAGAATTACTGAAGTGAAGGCAGGCATGGTGGGCTGGGCTGTAATCACAGCTACATAGGAGGCTGAGGCAAGAGGACTGCAAATTCAAGACCTGCCAGGGCTACAGAGGGAGTTTAAGGTCAGCCTGAGCAATGCAGTGAGACCTTGTCTCCAAAAAAAGCTAAATTTCAAGGTGGCATGTACCTGTGGAAGCAGAAAGATTAGGTGTTCAGGGGCAGCCTTGGCTCACAACAAGTTTGAGCCCAGTCTGGATTACATGAGGCCCTCTGTCTCAAAAATAAATAAATAAACAAACAGTAATAAAAATACTGACAAAGAGAATTGCTTTCTTTTTCTGTGACTTTCTGGTCATGTTCTTTGCATTTTTTTTTCATGACCACTTATATGACTCAACACATTAAAGATGACCTAGTACTTTTAATGCTTACAACTAATATTTTTCTAGTTTGTGCAAGCAAACATTGTTTTAATATTCCAGCCTAAGTATAAAATCATATACCCTGTTTCAATTCACTAAATAGAAATAATTCAATAAAACACCTCTCATTAAACTCTTATGAAAATACAAGCTCCCACAGTCCCCTACCCCACCCCACCCCCACTTCATGGCAAGAACTTTCCTCCTGATGTTTTTGTGGGTTGGTCTTGTGATACTTACCATGCTTGTTCCTAGGAAGATGAGCGGCTCCCAGACCTTTCAGTTATCAATCTGTCACAAGTGCACAGTGGTCTCTCGTGACATGATGATCCCCGAGATGTCTGAGGTCTTTGCATCCTTGACCCAAAATTTCTGTATCTCTCCTGACCCTTAAAGATGTTTTAGAGAATTATGTTTGACAATGCAATAAAAGGAACAGCAAAACAAAGCAACAGAACTGCAAAAGTGAAGAAAAACTTCTGGTCTAATCCAACTGTCATTAAACAAGTATCTCAGTTCTACTTTATGGTCATTAGAGTCTCTGTAACTTTGCGGCCTCAATTTTAGTAAACTTGCTATCGTAAGCATTTTTCTAGGTTTCAATGTCGTCTTTATAATAACTCATAATGGCCAAATTATTGAAGGAGTCACTAAATTAATCCCTATGGTTAACTCATATTTGTTCTCTTAATTTAGTTCAATCTACAGAAAACATAAAACCTAGACCAGAGATCTGAAATGAGTTCACCTCACACTTTTAGGGGCTGTGCATACTGACTTGTGCATGGGTGGGTCACTTATAGTCATTATTTAATAATTCTGAGGCCTTGATTAGGAAATGTCCAGCAGCTAGACTCTTGCTCATCCTAGGACCTGGCAGGTTTACCTAGAACTTTTCTAATCAAGGATACTAGTCCAACTCTGCCTCTTGTTCTCGTCTCTATGGTGTAGGCTTCTGATGACTGGGTTGGGACATTAACTAGCACAAGTATGAAGTCTGGATGATGAGGCCTCAGCAACTAGGATCCCATACATCCTTTGTCTTCAGAATCCCCAGGTTTCTTGAAACTTTTTTTTCTTCCTTAGCTTTCAAAGTTGTTGCAAATAACAAATATATGAAAGTGAGAAAAAAGGAAATAAAGTGCTGAGATGAGGATGACTGTAAAATTTTGTTTCTATGCCCCCTCCAAATCTGGTTTTGGGGTAATAGTGCAGTCTGCAGAATGAGTGGAAGTGGAAGGTAGGTGAGGGAGCTGCCTCAGGAGATTCTGGCTTCAAAGTAAGCACTATTCCCAGCTCCCTGACTAGTGGGTAGGTAGTGAAGATTAGGCCCCCTCCCCAAGTCCCACCAACACTCAGATGACAGAGCCCCAATAGCTTAAAGGGAGTGCTCCAAGGCTGAGGGATCACAGGAAGTGGAAGTCTTCAGGGGATCCTCCCTAATATTGCAGCTTAAAGTCCGCAAAGGACTTTAAGCCCTTTTAAACTTGCTAAGGAGACCAACTATGGAGCCAGGAAGGACATCAGATAGGTGAAATATTAGGAAAGAGCTAGGAGATCTTTGTTTCTTTCAGTGTGCAGTTATTAATGGGTGGACATGAGCAAGCTGTACTGGGCCAGGGACATTTGCTATGAGCAGCTGTACTGGGTCAGGAACATATGCTATGATTGGTGTATACATAGTGTTTTTCATTTGAGTTATGTAATGACTCTAAATATATATGCACACAAATCTTTGGGGTTGCAAGAGATGCTGCTGGCCAATGGGAAAATAGATCTCTAGAAATTAATGCCAACTTGGATATATAGTCCCCAGGTCAAGTCTTTTAATTTCTATCAATACATGCTCATTGATCTTCCTCAAGTATACTTTTTGAACCTATTTTTATTTTCATCTTGCACGGTCTCTCGGGAAAGCTGCCTGTTAATTAACTTCCATCTTGTAGGATCATGTTTTCTCCAGGATTCAAGAAGAAACCCAGTGCCTTGCTATTCCCACTGTCTCGATGAGTTGACAGGTATGGTGCTTTAGAACAATCAACAAAATAATGTGCACTGCAGAGTCCTTATGAGGTTTTTGTTTAATTGGACAGTTGCCCATATTAATGAAAATCAAAAGCAACATAACAATCATTCAACCTCAGCACTGGAGTATAGCCAAATGTTTTCCTGTTTAGGGTTCTACTTTTTTCCTTGCCTGTGTGCACGCATAAATTTTTTAGAGTTACAACCACTGCCTTTTTCTGTGGCCCTGGTTATTTGCATCTAGTTTTTCCGAGTAACATTGACACACATCTGTTCAGATCAATTGATGCTCCCATCATGACTGACTCATTTGGTGGGAAAAACAAGTTTCCATGCCAACTGGAACAAAGAAGCGTGGATGTGGGGGAACAGTGGGAAGGACGAAGCAGGGGACCAGATTCTTTGACTTACAGATCATAAAACATTTTCCAGTAACATGTTTCAAGGATGCAGAATATTACACTTAGTGGTTAATTATACTGTAACCCCCACAGCTGGGTGGTGTTTCAGTATCTAGTGAGATAAAAATGCATATAAATTACAGCTTTTGAAAGATGATTGTATTTTCTTGAAACAGGAGTCTTCTGTATCCAAATCCCCGCCAAGACTGTTGTTGCAGTATTCCCTTGTTGGAAAAAAAATCAGTACTGCTAACTGGAGAAGCAGGATGCCTTCAAAAAATATTCCTGTGATTAAAATTGTTACAAAATTATGTTTAATTCTAGTGTATTGTAGTAACCTGCATTTCTTGACCCACAACTTAGAGAAATGTCAAAGTTTAAATTTAAAGCTAGTTTTAAGAGCCCTGTCTGTCTAATAAACTTTATACAATGCCACGTGCACAGGGTTTCCTCACTAACAACTAACATGTGTTGGGGAAAAATGAGAAAACAATGGAGAGGTGCCTCATTGAATGTGGTCACAGTAGATCGATTCATCAGCCAACTATAAATGGAATCACTTTATATGTGTCTCCCACACATTATGATGCACATTTAGCCATGTTGAAAAAACAATTTAAAAGAATACCCTAGGGAGTTGTTAAAGAGAATTTATAATCTGGAACGAATTGCCATCTTCTTAATTGACACAGAAATGTTTGGCTAAAATACTGCTTTATTCACATTTTTGCCCTTGGAAGAAAATCTAGGCACACCACAACTTTAATTGCATAAATGAAGATGCAAGGCACATCTTATGTCAGAAAAAGGTACCCTTACAGTCAGGGTGATGTGTAGATGAGCTGAATTTTGGGGCCCTTGGGAACTCTGGGCAAAGGGCCTCTTAGATTCTGGAAGGCAACGCCTGTAAGTCAGGATCACTTGCTCCCCTGCCCTCTGTCCCTTGAAAACCCAAACAACGGACCTGAATCTCACCTGAGTCCAGCAGGCACCCACTGGAAAGAGCTGGATGGTGTAGGTCATGTTCTTTAGGATGGGTGGGCACCTCCAGTGCCGTGTGGCACTCTCCTTCTTGCTCAAGGGAGAACCTTGCTGAACAGGGGAAAGGGAGAAGGGAAGTTGGTAAGGGAGAGAAGGGGCATCTCAAGGTGCCCCTCCTCTAAGTGCAAAGGAACCCGAACCTATTAGCCATTTGCCCTGGGGATTCTGGGCCAGAGGGACCCAGCCAGGGAGTGGGGTAGAGCAAGAGCTGGGAGCCTTGTCATGGAGGAGGGGGGATGGGGCAAAGTCTTGGCAAAGGTCCTAGAGTCTAGGTGCTCCTGGGAGCCTGAGGGTTCTTATAAGCCAGGAAAGGACCCAGTCACCTCTCACGCACTGCTCAAGTGCAAGGAAGTCTGGGAGAATGAAGTGGTATTTGGTGGCTAGAGCTGGACTCCCAGGAACCCAGGGCCTCCCCTAACTGGAAGTTTTGTGGGGGGACACAACCAGATCATTATATGGCAGCCCATACATATCAGAAGAGGGTATTCGTGCGAGCCTGTGTGTGTGTGTGTTTTAAATGACAGAGTAGAAAAGATTTCAGCCTGCTTTGTGTTTTCCAATAGTCCTTTACCTGCCCATGCTGTAGATTATATGTATATATAAAATGGTTTCCACAGGAAAAGTAAATAATTCTTCTCACTCAGAGAATTAACTCTTTTTTCCAGGCCAGATGACAAATTCAGAGATGACTCTGGACCCCTTTTTCTCACTACAGGCTCAAAGGGCCCGTCAAAGGGGTGGTGGTGGCGTTAGTGGACCACAGAGGTACCACATTAATTAGCCACAGAACACTGAGTTGGGGGGGAGGTCACAAAAGGCCCCTGAATCAACAGCTCTAGCGCTACCATTTTCTCAGGAGCTGTTAAGTCAGTGCTCTGCAGGCAGGGCCTGTTTAGAAGTCCTGGGGCGGTGACAAGGTTGTCCTGGAGGCCATGCTGTGGGATAGCTTTGGAGAAAAGGGACAAAAAGAATCCAAAAACTGCAGTGTCACTCTGGAGCTACCTCTTAGGTCACTGCTCTTCCCTGAGCCACCTGGGGTTTCCCTGAAAGTCCACCAACACAGTTGGAGAAAAGGAGCCAAGGCGTGGGAAGGGGCCCCTTAATCTTTCCTAATCACTTTCAACACACAGGACCTAAGCCCTTTTAGGAGCGAGCACAGTGAGAAACGGGGGTTGCTGGAAGCCACCCTTCCTGCCCCTTTTTGGGAACCCTGCTCCCCATTTTGTTATTTGGTGCTTAAGACAAACTCTTTTTGTTGCTGTTCCATGCGTGGTATTTTAGAAGGTGATCATAAAAGACTTTGTGTTTTACCAGGGCAGTGAACGGGTTGCGAAGCCAAAGCCTTGGTCCCGCCCAGTCACATAGTCACAGATCCCTACATGTTTCATCAAACGCTAATTTGGAGAACGTAGTTCTGGAGTCTAGCTCCCCCTGGGCCTGTTGCTGCAGGGGATGGAGCGAAACTTACCTGGTCGGGTGTGCTGATGTGGAAGTCTCAGACTTACGCTGGCAGCAGAAACAATACTCCAGAGTCCAATCACTTACTGCAGTACTGTTCCCGCTGCTAGGGCACGACTGAGTGTGGTGGGCTGAGCGCCGGACTCCAAGTCGATCGCCTGCGTGTTTGGCCTGGCCAGCACCCCCTCCCAGTGCACAGCTGCCCTCTCTAGACTAAACTAAGGCCCAGCTGCCTGGGCGGGGAAGGGTGCTGACCCCAGGTAAGAGACTGAGAAGTTCCGGTCCACCCACCTACCTGCTCCAGAGCTGGGCTTCCAGAGATGTCATGCCTTGCCTGGTCTGTCCTGTCCTGCAGACTTCCACCTTTTATTTTTCGCCCCCACGAAGGGGTGTAGCAGCGCTTCATGTTTTGAATCTTTTACAACACTCCAAAACATGAATTGCTGCTGCGTCCCTTCGGAGTCAACATGAGAGGTGGGGGTCGCTCTGGGGTACCTGCGAAAGAAGAAAGTCTCCAGTCAGTGGCTGTCCCACCCGGCCCAATGGTGAGAACTGAGATGAATGCTTAGGGCATCTCCAAGTTGATATGCTTCTTATAACTTTGCTAGTTGATTTCCAGGATCTGAAGAGTGTGGCTTTTACCTCCCCCACCCCGTGAATATTCGGAAAATGTATTGGTGAAAAGCCAGTCTACGGGAGACAATCTGGGGTGGGGAGAGACTCTTACCTCTGAAAGTAGATGAAAAATGAGATTGAACTGAGACAATTTGGTAACATCTGGAGGACTCTTGCCAGCTTCAGAGTCTTGGTGAAACTCCATGCTGTTTATTATGTCTAGTTCATTGTTCCCATTAATGTTTTTCATTTATTGGAAGTCGATGCAGAGAACTTTTGCTAATCAAAACCCCTCAGGGTAGCTCCAGTTGATTCTAATGAATACCACAGCTGTGAAATGTGGACTTGTCTATGCGAACATCAGCAGTCTTCTTTAACTCATGACTAGCAGTTTTCTCTCTTTAAACACACCTTGTTTTGAGTTATTTTTAAGCATAAAGAACAAGAGAGAATTTTCTGTACAGGAACTCCTCGAATGTTTTCATATAATGTTGGTTACTCAAATTTATTTATAAATACTTTATATCTGTCAATGTCACCTATCAGATCACAAATCAAGAAGTTTAAATACTTGATGTCAAATCTCTCCTTCCTGTCTCAAGCAGCTTCACAGAAACTCTTTCATGTCCTGAAATGGCGGGCACTGTGCATACTCCTTAATGATTAACTCATTAGATACCAGTTTTTTCTTTTCAAAATGAACACATATTAGCAATAAGTTACAAGCATTAGTCTCCTTGCTTAAACAAAACATTCAAGTAAGTGTTAAGAAAAAAAATCCTTCGGTCCTTAATCACAAGCCTAAAAGTTAAAACAAGCAAACCAAAACAAAACTACAGTGTCTTTCAAAGTTCAAATACATTTCTGTACATGTAAACAGAAGTTTAATATAATCAAATGTCCTGTTTTTTTCATTTTAAAATTATGTCAGTTTTTCAAAAATAGCACAATGAATGCTATGTCCTATTAATTAATGAAATGGACAGAATATTTAATGAGACCAAGTACAAAATTCACAACACAAGAGATTGTGATCCAGCACTAACAAATAAAGCCATTCATGATAACCCCACTTCTTAAATTGGAACAATTGTCTCTAAATTCCATCTTGTCTTGGCTTTATTTACAAGCCATTTTACACTGGCATTTGGAAATAATGAAGAGAAAGGTGTCGATGGTTGCCCTTAAAAAGAAAAAAAAAAAACATGTTTAGCAAATATACACTTATACTTTAAAAATGTGTAACTTTCTTCCATTTCAATTCTTATGTATCACACAAATAGGTGAGCCATTACATCAGATATTAAAGTCACCCCTAGTTTAACATTTCCTTAATTTACAACTTAAAACAAAAGTTCATTAGAAATAACACCAGCACCAAAGGCGAAGAACTTTCCAGGGAGTTTTGTAAACGAATACATTGTAATCAAATTCATATATATATATATATATAATTTAACCCCTTTCTTTTCTTCCAGTGACAGTACAACGACTTATATCCCTAAAAAGCCACCTCGGTCCCCCGGTTTATGTATTTCCCCTTGAACTAAACTTTACTTACGAAAGGAGAGTACAAAGAGGCATCTGGTCACTTCTGGAGAGGGTCATTTGCTGATACAATAGACAAAGAATCAATACTTAGGAGTTGCCATGGCCCCACCCCCTTCAGAACTGCGACGTGTTTGGCCAAAAGATTTAAGAGCCAAAGAATACGCCCTTTTCCTCTTTTCACATTTTAGAACGTTTTGTCTTTTAACGTTGTAGATACCTTGTATCCCCCAACACCCCAAATACACGATGTATGCATCCTCCGCTCATTCGAGCCAAACTTTTCCAATGTCGAGTTTCATACAGGAAAAAACCAAACAACCTTGAAAGTTTTAATTCGCGAAAGATCGTGTAAAATGAACCTGTTTCTTTCCAAGACATACGTATTTACTGCTTACAAATGAGACTCGCTAAGAGTCCATTTCCATTCTGTCAAAAAGAAGTAGCTCCCCACTCTGGCGAGGTTGACAACTGGCCACCGCCCCTCACTCCGCTTTCGCTCCCCGCCCCTCCAGGTTCACTTTTTCGCAGTCCGTTTCCTGAGAAATTTCTCGCCACACTCAACTGCTAGACATTTTAAAGATCTGTCTTCTCCCTCCCCCTCCCCATCCCGTGCTTTCCACCCCACCAGCGTGACACAGAACTTTTTTTCAGAATGATCCCCACTTCTTTTACAGTCTGCAGCGACCAACGTTACAACTGGGGGGGTCAATCAATAAGTCCCCCACCCCACCCCCCTTTTAAAAAATCGCATGTCACCTCTCACTCCACTCGAAAATGGCGCCGAAATCGTAGAACTTCTTAAATTTCATTGTAAGCTTTTTGCAAAGGTTTCTGGGATTTTCCTGAGAAGCTGCTCCACCGGGTCTGAGGGCTTAGGGAACAAGCGAGCGAAGCCGGACAGGGGTGGTGGGGGGGGGCGGGGAAGAAAAGGTGGGTGGGGATGCGGAAAGAGAGACAGACGGACGGACAGCGAGAGAAAAGGGTGGAGGGTGACGCAGGCTCGGGGACCTGGGGAGAGCACGGGGTAGCAATGCGAAGGGGTGCTGGGCACCGAGCGACAGGGGGACGCAGAGTCGAGGTCGCGGCGCGTTGGGCGCGCTTGGGGCGCTGGCTGCCGTCGAAGCTCAAAGAGAGGCGTGGCGAGGCCGAGCGGAGCAGGGCTGGAGCGGGGCTGAGCGGCGCTAGCGTCCAGCGCATCCCAGGAGGCGAGCTCGAGCAGCCAGCGCTGAGACGCCACAAACCACCCTAGAAAAAGCCAGCCCGGGGGGCGGGGCCGGGCGCAGCTCTCCGCCCGGCCCCGCCCCTCTCCTGCCCTGCTCCGCCCTGGCTCGTCTCCTGGGGCCAGGGGCGGGAGGGGGGGAGGGAGGGCGAGGCCGTGCGGGCGCTCAGCGCCACAGACTTGGCCCGCAGCCAGAAAGGGCCCAGAAGGACGCTGGGCGCTGTAGTGGCCACGTACAGAGCCTCAGGGCGGGGTGCAGGGAGACCAAAAAGGAAGAATGAAAAAAAAAAAAAAAGAAAAAAGCAAAGCCAAACACCCAAGGTAGCGCAGTGCCTGCTCAAAGACCCACCCCACAAATGCCACCTCGTCCCTAGGTCCCCTAGTTCCCTTGTCCTGCACTTTGAGTTGTTGGAGGGCTCAAGTAGGTTAAGCAAAGCCTCTCGGAGTTGTGTTTTTGGGGAGTGGGGTGTGTGCCTGAAACAGGACCAGAGACCAGGGACCCTCAGGCTGCAGAAGTGGGGCACCTACCAATATCTGAGTACCTGCTCAGGTAGAGCAGCCCCTTAGGTCCAGGCGGTCCACTTTGGGAGACAGGATAGGGAGGCAGGGAACAAACTGTTTATACATATGTCCAGTCCAAGAAGGGAAGTAACTTTAAGACTCAAGTTTTGATCTGGAGTGGGGAAAGAAGAGAGCCTTTCTCGTGCATGCTTGATACTGTAGGGCAAGATGCTGTTTTCGTAGGGAAGTGTGGAAATGGTGTTGAAGTTAGGAGGATGTCCACATTCTTACAAGATATGTGCCAAAGTGTAGAGAGGTGAAATGTCAGGATGGCCCGGGTTTTCAAAGTGATTCCGCAAATGTATACGTTCCAGGGGAAGGGAGAAAATATTGTAGCGTCCTAACAGTTGTTGCATCTCGCTGGGGAGTAAACAGACGTTCATTGTACCATTCTTTCAATTTTCTTGTACATTTGCAAAATGTCATAATAAAAAAAAATCTGGGAAACCCAGTCATAGTGGTGCACACCTGTGATCCACGCTCTCGGGAGCTGGAGGTGGGGGGGGGGAATCAGAAGTTCAAGGTCATCCTCTGCTAGAAAGCGTGTTACTGGAGAGAGCGAGAGAGAGGGAGAGAGAGAGAGAGAGAGAGAGAGAATAGAGAAAAGAAGATAAAAGAAGAGAAAGACGAGAAGAGAGGAGAGAAAAATTTGGGAGAAACCCCTTATAAAATAGCGCCGGGATGCTAAAAATGAACTCAGCTTTTTTTTTTCCTTTTCCCCCCTTTCCCCGGGTGGGACAAATCTTTGAGCAAGCAAAGCTCAAACTCAGACGGATCTGGACGGGAAGAGCAATGGGTAGCGACAGCCACGTCCCTGGGAACCATAGAAAGGCCAGAAAGCGACACAGGAACCTCGGGGCAGGTGGCGAGCTGGGCGCTGGGACCTTCCGGGGAGCTGCTTAGCGAGTTAGCTCTCCTGGGGCCCCAAGAGAGAGACTGCTGCCTTCTCAGCTCCTGGTGACACCTCCACCCCTGCAAAATGTTGTCGGGTCTGGTCGCCAACTTGGTGGGTTCCCCCGCGCTGTGAACTAGCGAAGACACCAGCGATCGCCAGCAGTGGAGTGGCAGCTGCGGCCGGGGTCCCCCACGCTCCCAGACTCAAACCTAAGGGGTCGCTGAGTGTAGGATCCGTGCGGGATAGGAGGATCGCGCGAGGGAGCTAAACAATAGCATATTCGACCAGGTGCCCAAAGAAAAGCGCTACAGTGAACCGGGTAAACAGGCGCACTCACACAAGAAATCAGCACACAAATATTCAAAACACCCACCGACTCCGCGGTGCTCAGCGCTAGAGTTTCTTGTGCTGCTTAACTCTCTGGGCTGTATTTTACTGTGATGTTTCTGCAGGGCTGAATGTTCAAAACAAAACAAAACAAAACAAAAAAACGCCAAAAATAAACTTCAATTGAGTTTTGCAGGCGCGATCTCAAAAGCTTCAAAGCGTTATTGGAGTCGCTGCGTGGTCTTATGCTGGTGACTTGGGCTTTTTTCTTTGTTTTTAGTTGAGGGGACACAGAGAACAAGACAGTAGGATCTTCCAGGGTCTGCAAAACCCTGTAGAAAAATTAGCCAAAAGGATTTTTGCAGACCTAGATTCTCTTTTCAGGAAAGGTTTTAAAAAGGCGAATAATGTGGATAGTTTCGGTGGGCACTAGAAACTATTTATTAGGTGCTGCAATGTCTCTTAGTATCTTCAAAATTCTTGGTAGACAGGACTGAAAGTTTGCCGGGCTGTCAGACGTGACTGAACGAGCGTCTACATCCAGTGTCCTTGGAATGAAAGGTTTTCTTTGGGTTTTGAAAGCTCGCCTTGGTGGGTCAATTTGTTTGGGTTGCTGCACCTAAGTATTCATTTCCCTACCTAAATTCTAGAAGATTCCAGCCCTGTAAGATGAAAGCTGAATTTGTGAACCGTCTTCTGAAGAAAAATGGCAACAGCTTTCTTTATTAAACTTCTTTTGCTATATCAGCATATTAAGAGAGCCAGTTGAATATTGATGAATTCTTTGAGGGTGAGTAATATGGCTACAGGCCCAAGAAAGCACAGGAGGGCAGGCTTAAGTATTTACTCAAGTGAACAATCTTCAAATATTTTTCAAAGATGGTGTCTCAAGGATTTTCTTAGGGCCTCTGAAGCAAATGGCTTCTTGTTTATTAGGCCCTTCCCAACTTGAGAAAACTTACCGGGATAAAAATCACCCTAAAAAGTGGCCTCCAGTCATTCTGGAATTAAAAAGGGGACACAGCTGACCAGGATGTTAGGGAGCCTCCAACTGAGAAGTCAGGCAATTTCTCACGGAGCAACTAGAAACCAGAAAAGAAATGCACATTATGATACTGTGGGCTCTTTTTTTTTTTTTTTTTTTTGGGTCTTCATCTCTCAAATACTGTTTTGAAGCAGTTTTCTTAAATATAATACATTTTTCTTTCAGTTTTCTCCATGTAACACTCAGAAATTACCTTGATAAGAAATACTTACAGGCAGCCAGGGAGGACAGGTTTTAGCAGCAGTTTGAAGGGTCTTAAAGATGCAGTTGAGAAAAGTAAATCAGCCCTAGACTGGAGATATTCAACTGGTCGTGTTGATGATATGCACAACAAGGTATCTGGAATAATTTGGAGGAAAATTCCTTTTGGGAGGATAGTGAATGGGTCTTTGGAAATTGATATTAGTGAATCAAGCTAAATTGAAACTTTTTAATTGCAAAAATATTTCTAGAAATTGGGATTTTTAATATTAAATAAACATGCATTTTATGATTAGTGAGCTTTTTTTGGTGAAGGCCTTGAGTTGGGGAAACAAGACTTTCCGTAGGTTGCAAATATGCAGAAGTCTTCAGAGAGATAAAATCAGGGTACAGTTACAGATTTAACAGAAAGAAAACAACTGGAACGGCGTTATGAAGCTTCCACTGTGCTATTCCTAAAGGATTTTTTTTTTCAGAGTTCAAGCAAAGGCTAAAAGGGACTAGTAACTATATAACATTGCTGGCTCTACTATCAGGTTAAACAAAAAACATAGTGCCCTTTTGTAATTTTTATTTTACTTTATAAAATTAGTTATGTATGGTTTTTGAAAATAGTTGCTTGAAAACCTTAGAACTTGAGGGGAAATTTTTGAATCTCTACTTCTCCCACCATCATGACCTCACCAGAAAAATGTAGAATGAATTAGTACATTCTTTCCTTTCTGCCAAAGAAGAGCTTACTAAGTCACTGATGCCCTTACTAAGTCACTGATGCCTGTGTGTTTTGATCTCTAGATCTCTTTTCCTACCCCAAAGACACACAAACTTGCTGCTTTGAATGCTGTTAGGATCTTTTCTTTAAACAAGGCATGTTTTTCTTGTTGGGTGTGCTCTCTTACTGTCTTAATTACTCCTGGATTTCTGCCCATTAAATCAAAAAACTATTTCAGATGACAGAACTGATTGACCTTCACACAAAGAAGAGCCACTGTAAAGGGATAGAGGATGGTCTCGGTCTCCCTTGATATGATGCTGGCCCTAAGGTATGACTTGCTCTCTGTCAGTGTGAACTGATCAAGTGTAATGACAGGGACTCGGAGACAGAAAATCCATCTCTTGTGTGCATACAGATCATGGCAGTCAGTTTCTAACTTGACACTTCTCCCACTTTTCAGGCGTCTCATCTAATTATGAAAGCAAGAAAAGGAAAAGAAATTCTAATATGTATATATCATTGTCAACATGCCACAAATGGTGTGCAGGGAAGCAGAAGTGCATTTGGACAGCTAGTCACTCCATTCACATTAAAAAGTTGAAGAAAAAATATTTTAAAACCAAAACAACAACCCCAAATGAACAAACCCCAAAGTGATTGGCCCGAGGGAGTCTTGAGATCCTGTTTAAAAAAAAAAAAAAGTACAGCGCTCTGGTAAA